AAATTCTATTGTTCACGCCATATCTTGCAATTTGCTGCTCGGGTGAGAGAAAATAGGAAGTGAGTTATTACAACCAGGCTTGTTTTATACTCATAAATACGTATTGTTGAAATTTTCAGATGGGCGTCCTCTTATTTTTCTGTACCATATCAGTTTTGCTTGGATTGGCACTTGTCGCCATCTACGGCTTTTTCATTGTCATTCTCTGGAATATTGCCGCCTATATTCCCGTATACATAGCTATCGCCTCAATGTTCGCGACTCTTGGTATTCTTGAGACTGTTACAGGAATCTGGTCAGCGGTATGCTGTTGTCGCTCATGCTGCGCTCTGACTCGGTCAGAACCGGTGAGTCCTATTTTAGAAACTTTAGTTAATCCAAGTGCTCTACGCGCAAACCTGTGAATTTCCCGGTGAATTCCAAAAAGCACCTCTAATGTTTTAAAGGGACCCACGAAATTTTTTTCACGGAAAGTTCGACTGCAGTTTGAGTCATGACGAATTACTTTTTGGTCCTGCATTGTCCGCCTTGTTGGAGATAAAATTACATAATCTCCTCTTTATACTGTGTTCCCATCTTTGTAAATTCCAGGAACAACAATTTCTAAATCCTGCCACTGACGCTGAATCGGTCTCCACCGGTGAATTCATGACACAACGAACTGTTAGTGTTGCTATGGTAATTCCAGTACAAGGAGACGACAGTTGCGATGCCACACAGGAGTGGAGCGGTCTTCTTCCGGCGATCCCGGTACCTACCTTTGGAGCGACGGGGAATCACCCTCAGCCTGTTGGTGCTCCCATGTCAGTTCCGCTGCAAGCGGCAGGCGTCGTTGAGGTTGTTGTCCAAGCTTCTGAATCAGTGGCTCAAGGAGGTCGGCGTTAAATGATTAGCTGCCGCCATAGTAGTTCCAGTGTAAGCAGACGATGGAGTGGTTGCAGTTCAGGCGGACAAGTTTACTTCTGGAGTGGAGGGAGTTCAACGTTGGATTGCTCAAACTGATACTTCTCTAGCGATGGCTGCAGGCTACTCAGCATTGAAAGAAAATATGTTTCTTTTTTATAATAATTTATTTAATGAGAAGTACTATAAAATAATCATTAAAGCAGTCAGATAACACTGATGGCACGAGAAGCCTTAACGCATGTGCAATTTACATTTTTGGCTAAAGGGTGAAACTTAATTAAAGCTGAAGCATATTGTTGTATCAAGCTTGACTGAAATTTAGATTTCAAAAAATTGCATTGCCACGGACCAAATGTTTCTCTCAGGAAAACACTTACTTTGGTTTGAAATAGGGCACGGGTTCCGAGAAATGAACCTTATCCAACCCACTCTCCCCGCGGAGGAAACCGAAACATTTGGAATAGTGACTAGAATCAGAAAAAGTGTGATCATTTTGCCTCTACACTTAGCCAGGCAGGGAGATCATTGAAGACATGGTTTTCCGAGTACAAAGACACTGTCTTGATGTTCGACAAAAATCCATAGTCGCGAGTTATGTCTAAGAATGTGGCCATAAGATATGCTTCCCGTTTGACAACATAAAAGACATGACCATCAGGCCTCGATGTTTGTGAAAGATCAGAACGCTTGGAATCACCACATGGCCATCCTACGGAGAATTATTGGCTTGGCTAAGAGCTTGGTAATCACGCAAAAAAAAACACATTCTTTGTGGTCACGCGATTAAAGGAGCTAAGTCACGGTTTGCACATTTAAATTTAGCCTAAATTGTCGTTTGCAATCCGTGTTAATCTTCTCCATCTTTGTTTCTTTATGATATTTTATTATCTCTTTGGTGTTTTTTTTTTTTTTTTTTTTTT